CATATACTGTACAATGTTTCACTGAGTGTACATAGCACAGTTTTGTACCCATTTCCTGCCCCCCTCCCACCTGCCACCTCTGGTGACCATTATGCTACTCTCTATTTCTATGAGAATCCCCCCTTTTTTTTAGATTCCACATGAGTGACATCATGTGGTATTTGTCTTTTTTGCCTGACTTACTTCACGTAACATAATGGTTTCCAGTTCCATCCATGTTGCTGCAAATGATAAGATATCTTTCTTTTTAATAGCTGAGTAGTATTCCACTGTGTATATATACCACAGTATTTTTATCCATCCATTGATGGACATTTAGGTTGATTCCATCTCTTGGCTATTGTGCACCATGTGATTCTGATATAAGCAATGTGCTTATCCAGGCCCACTGTTGTGAGAACCAAATTAATATTTACCTAAACTGTGTCCTCTGCAAGGGGAGACAGTGTGGCTCCACTGTTCTCTGCTCCATCCCTAGCTCCCAGCGTAGAAACTGGCACATTCTAGGTACCTCTTGCTATGTCACTTCCTCACTTGCCTGAAGAGGCCAGGGAGGACAGTCTTCCCGGGCAACTTCTAGCCACGTGAACTCAGGTGTGTGAGCCCTGCCCATAAGAAACAAGGTAAGGATTCTGTAGGGCAGGAAATCATATTACAGTCTTGGAGTGGGCACTCCCCAGGGCAGGCACAGGAGCTGAGCAGGCAAGTGGAGGCGGGCACTGGGAGAATGGCCCAGTCCACACATCAGAAGAGCATGCCAATGGTCTGAGCACTTTCGTGCTACTCTTAACTGTTCATTCTCTCAACAGTTCATACATATATATAGGTAGATTTCAAATGTCCTTCCTCTTTGCTCTGCTCCACAGGACTCCTGGAAGCCTGCACTTTCCACAAAGTCTAAAATCCAAGAGGTGGAGCTACCACCCAGATGGAGATGGGAGCTCAAAAGACCCACAGGCTCCCCCTGGTCTCGCTGGCCAGAGTGGTTTGTGTTAACCATGTCCATTTTCACAGCTCTGTGTTGCCATGTGCACAGACACAAAATAAAAATTATTGATTTTATATTTCAAAAACTCCATTCTTTCCTAAAATGTTTGTAACAGAAGAATTTCTTTATATTATCTGACTAAATATCTGTGCAACTGAGCCTTTCCTCTGAGCTCGAAATTCATCTGGTCTTTCCCGACAGCTTTGTGTGGTGACACAGCCACCTCTCCTGGGTACAATCCAGGGAGGAATCCTTTCAAAAGGGTCTACATGATTGTTGTAATAGAACCAAATGTATATGGTCATTTGTGTGTGTGTGTTGTATGTATGCGTGTGCATACCTGCATGTGTGTTTGTATTGCCAGGGAAGGGACAGGAAAGAGATTGCAGTGAGTTCAGGGATCAAGCACTTGATTGAGTATAGAAAGACTATACAAGACTTACCATTATTTTGACATTTTTAATGAATTCCATCAGGCATAGCCAAGATCCTGATCCTAACTGGTTAAAAAAAGTGAAACACTGAAACATCTTTTGCTAAAAATTATACCTTGAGCCTGATGCCACAGCAGTTACTGTCCTCTCTTCTCCCCTTCTCAGCCCAGCTTCCTGTAAGGTGGAGGCTCACTTTTCCACATTTCACTTATTATCATAGGCTGAACACAGAGAAATTAGTCTTCTGTTCCACTCACTTCCCTGAAGCCACTCTGGCAAGTATCACCATCTACCTGTTAAACCAATTTAGTTCTTTCATTCCTGAGCCTGTTTCCTGCACGTGATATAGCTGAACACTCACTTCCTTGGAACCCTTTCCCTCCTTTCATTAGCTTCTCTGACGCAGCAGCTCTCTGAGCCTATCAACACCCTGCCTTCATACTGGCCAGTTGCCAAAAAAAACACAAACACAAAACAAAACAAAACACCCTGCCTCACTTAATATTCCCCTGAACTCCACCATTAGCCCAAATCCTATTATTTCCATCTTGTCTTTTGTTTGGGGAGATGTCCCACGGTTCCTCTGGGATGTGGTCTTTCTGATTGCCAAGGCCATAAACCTAACTTTGTTTCATTACAGGTATGTTCCTGGAAATCTTAGGCAATTGGGTTAGAACAATAACATTCAACATCCATTATTAATTATTAATTACTAAAATAGAATGGACAGGTGTTAGTAGGCCATGATTTTATAAATATATGATCAAAAGCTCATATATATGTAATGGCAAAGAAATAGAAGCATTCCCACTAAAGTTAGGAACATGAAAAAACATTGATTACTATCAATATTTCACAGTGTTGTAGAGCTGGTGGCCAATCTAATGACATAAAAAAATTAAATAAGATATAATATTTAAAGAAACACCAAAAATTGCTATTATTTCTAAATGATGATTGTACAAATAGAAAATCCATGAGAACAAAATAATAAAATAGAAAAAGTGGTAAAATAAAATTCAGTAAGTGGAAAGAGAATGAAAATATAAAATAATTTTCCTTTATACAAATAAAAGTGAGTTAGAACAATAATAAACAAGAATAAATGAAACATATCATTTAATAAATAAAAGTTACATTTAAAAAAATTTAAATCACACTTAACAAAGTAAAAAATAGTGTAAAAAAGACATTGTCTTGAATAGGAAGACTCAATATTGTAAAGATGTCAATTCTCCCTAAATTAATCAATTAAAAACAAATTTTTTTACCTTGACAAAATGATACTAATGCTCAACTAAAAAATAAGCAACACATAAGAAAAATTCTGAGAAAAGAATAGTAAGAGTCGACTAGCTCTTCCAGGTATTAGAATGTATAATAAGCTCTTGGACACTGGCCTTAGCAATGATTTTTTGGATATCACACCAAAAACTCAGGCCACGAAAGCAAAAACAAATAAATGGTACCATATCAAACTAACAAGCTTCTGCACAGCAAAGGAAACTATCAACAAAATAAAATAGTAGTGTATGGACTGGGAAGAAATATATGCAAACTATATACCTGATATGGGGTTAATAACCAAAATTTATAAATAAATCATACAACTCAATACTAGACAAGCAAATAACACAATTAGAAATGGGCAAAAGCCCTACATAGACATTTCTTCGAAGAAGAAAAAATGGACAGCAGGTATATGAAAAGGTATTCAACATGATTAGTCAGCAGGGAAATGCAAATCAAAACCACTATGAGATACCTCCTCACACCCATTAGGATGGCTATTATCAAAAGGTCAGGCTGGCCAGTTCAGTTGGTTAGAGATTTGCATTATAATACCAAGGTCAAGGGTTCAGATCCCCATACTGGCCAGCTGCCAAAAAAATAAATAAAAGGTCAAAGGAGGTCACCAAGATGGCAAAATAGATGATCCTATGGCACCACTCCCTCACAAGGAATCAATTTACAACTATGAAAACACAAAAACCACCATCCTGTAATGACCAGAACTTGGAGGAAGAGGCGGAGAGACCCACTGTGTCTGTGAAGGCATGGAAAACCAGCGGTGAGTAGGAGGAGAGACCACCCTGATCAGACCTAGCCCCAGTCATTCCCCAGACCAGTGTGGCTCAGTGCACAGAGCATTTCCCTAAAGACAGCAAAGCTGCAGCATCACCCTTTGTGTGAAGTTACTTGGAGTCTGCAGGGGAGAAAGGTGTCATTACAGGCGGCAAAAGAAAAAAGAAAATAAAATGCACCATCCCATCTCCAGGTCATCAAAACTGCCTATATGCTTCCTTGTTACCTGCATAGGAAGGACAAGCCACAGCTGATGGGAGAAAGGGTTCACCCAGAGGTTGGTGAGTCTTTGCCAGGGACTTGTGTGGGCCCAACCATGGGAAATGTTTGCAGTGGGGGGGGGAGGGTGATCCACCAGGGGTGCATCAGGGAGTAGTGTAGACAACTGATCTGTCTACCCCTTGGCACTGGCACCACACAGTGGAGAGCAGTCAGTGAGACAGAACTGCAGGGGGCATGGTTTTCAGGAAAGACTCAGTCCCTGTCTGGAATTTCCATAGCTCAGTTGCTTCTGTGGTGATCCCACATGATCCAGAAGTGACTAAAACGTCAACAATTAAAATCCAATCTGCACAAAAAGTTTTTCCCAGTCTGAGAAACAACAGTAAGGCACTAATTTAGCTCAAGTACAGAGTTCAAGTTCTGCAGGAAGTTTCCTCCAATCTGGGAACTAACCACAGAACAGGGCAGTGCTTAAGTAGTGGTGGTTGCTATTAATCCATCACAGAACAGGTAAAAACCACGGACTAGAGACAAAGTTCTAGTATTGAGCATTAAAGGTCTAACACCACCAAACAGCACCTATAAAACCTGGAAGAGGTAGTCGTCTCCTCAAATGTGCAGGCATCAGTGTAAATATACAAAGATCAACAAAGAACAGAAAAACATGACATTACCAAAGGAAACCAACAAAGCACCGGTAATGGACCCAGAAGAACAGTGGATTTATGACATGTCTGACAGAGAATTCAGAATAATCCTCCTAAAGATGTTCAGGGGATCACAGAAAATACAGATAGAAAATTAAGTGATATTTGGAAAACAATGCAGGAGCAGAACAAGAAACTTGACAAAGAAAATCAGTTTAAAAAACCAAATAGAAATTCTAGAAATAAAGAATATGTTATCTGAACTGAAAAGCTTAATAGAAAGCTCCAACAGCATACTTGATCAAATAGAGGAAAGAATCAGTGAGCTTGGAGACAGAACATATGAAATTATCCAATCAGAGGAGCAAAGAGAAAAAAGAATTAGAAAAAATGAAACAGAACTGCAGCAATTATGGGACTCCTTTAAGTGAAATAATCTCCACATAATTGATATACCTGAAGGAGATGAAAAGGAAATGAACTAGAAAGCATATTTAAGAAAATAATGGCTGAAATTTTCCCAAGAATAGAGAAAGGTGACCATATCCACATACGGGATGCTCAGAGGTCACCAATCAAATTCAACCCAAAGAAGAACACCCCAAGGCACATCATAATCAAATTATCAAAAGCCAAAGGCAAAGTAAGAATACTGAAACTATCAAGAGAAAAACACATAACCCTCAACAGAGCCCTAAGAAGGCTCTGAGTGGATTTCTCAGCAGAAACCCTGTAGGACAGGAGAAAGTGGACTGATACATTCAAAGTGCTGAAGGAAAAAGACTGTCAATGAAGAATTCAGTATCCAGCAAAACTAATCTTCAAATATAAAGGAGAAATAAAGTCTTTCCCAGACAACTCTAAATGTAAATGGATTAAATTCCCTAATAAAAAGACAGAGTGGCTGAATGGATTATAAGACAAGAACCAACAATATGCTGCCTATAAGAAACTCACTTCACCTATAAAGACACACATTGACTGAAAATGAAGGGATGGGTAAAGTTATTTCATGAAAATGGAAATCAAAAAAGAATAGAAGTGACTATACCTATATCAAAAATAGACTTTAAGCCAAGGAAAGTAAAAAAAGATAAGGAAGGTTATTATATGATAAAGGGATCAATTCAACAAGAGTATATAACAATTCTAAATATATGTGCACTCAACTCCAGAGCACCCAGATATATTAAGCAAATACTACTAGACTTAATGTGAGACTCCAACCCAATAATAGTTGGGGACTTTAATACACCTCTTTCAGCAAAGGACAGATCATCCAGACATAAAATTAACTAAAAAACATCAGAATTAGTCTTCACTCTAGTCTGTTAGACCTAATGGACATTTATAGAACACTTTTTTCAACAGGTGCAGAATACACATTCTCCTCAGCAACACATAGAACATTCTCTAGAATAGCCTATATGTTAGATCACAAAAAAGTCTCAACAAATTTTTAAAAATTGAAATCATACCAACTATCTTGTCTGACTACAATGGAATAAAACTGAAATCAATAACAAAAGGGACATTGGAAATTGTACAAATACATGGAAATTAAACAACATGCTTCTGTAAACAACAAATGGGTCAAAGAAGAAATTAAAAAGGAAATTTAAAAATTCCTGGAGACAAATGAAAATAAAAACACAACACACCAGAACCTATGGGACACAACAAAAGCAATTCTAAGA